TGCAAGTAGGTGGAAAAATGAGTGTGCAAGTCATTAACAATCTGAACCTCTGCCAGTCTGCAAAAATAATCAGTGCTAACTATACCTCATTAAGTATCCTACTTGTGAAGCACAAAAATGCTAAATATGGTTAGTGTCCATTAGAATAATTTGAACTAGGAAGCATATGATTTCCTAGGGTAGCTCTGCATATAATTCTAAATACTCTACTTTCTCCCCCTGTTGTTATTTGACTATTACAGAGGCTATTAATCATGGGTGAAAAATCTTAGTATATACCAGCTTTCCCCAACAAAAATCCTTGGACCTTCTTCATTCATGTGAACTGTCTTGAATTTATGTGTAATAATTGTGTAATTTATTCATTAAATCCAGGTTGTTTCCTTGCTGGTATCACAATGAGGAAATCCCCACTACTTCAGATACAAATTGTGCCAGTCCAGGGTGAATTCCCTGGATCTGTAGAACATACATATGCAATTTCCTTCTGATTGTGCACAGGGTTACACAACTGCAGCTCTCAAGTTTGGTCTGTGAATCCCTTCATTGTTCAATATAAGCTTTTAACATAGTGAACACTGTTGGAATGCTTTGTACGTGTCTCCAAATAGCTTTTGCTAGCTGTAGGGCAAAGGCCTTGGAGTGTTGGAAGGTTAATTTTTATTGCTGTAACTCTATTTTATCTATACAGAGGTTTGAAGGTCACAGAATTTTAAATTCTGGAAGAATACAAGACAACACAGGGCTCCTTCACTTTGTATTGATGCTATTTCTGCACTCTTTGGATATGAATTTCAGACTAAGTAGCTTGCATCTCCTTTTAAAGACACTTCTAAGTAGCATGGAAGCCCATTTCAGTCAAAGTAAACACCTCATCATTTACATTACTTAAACTGTTACCTCCTCCCCATATATCAACTGAGCTAGATAGATCCAATAAAAAAACACAGCAATTTAAATGAGTACTTTATAATGGTAAACTTAATTTTCAGCAGACTAAATCAAACTTCGTGTTGGAGCAGCAAATTGATATACAAAGGATATACAAATACAAGGTCCGAGGATAATTAAAAAACCCCTCTCACTGCAGCTTTCATGCATTCTTGGTTATAATCTAACATTCAAAATGTTCTCCAGTTGAAGAGAAAAGAAAGGAAAAAGAAGTATTTAACCTCATTAGAAACACTGTAGATTCTCTGTGTTTTGAAACTCACTGAACAAAATCAGACCTGAGAAGGATTCAGTTGCTTGGTGCTTTTATTTCACAAAAGAATGAACATATCGGCAAACATGTAGTATCATACTTCCCGCATATCAGCAGAGCCCAGGCAGCAGCAAAACATTACTGATCTCTATGCTTTATTGGGTGTTAGAAGGGAAAAAAAAGTAAATTGAGCCTAATGTTCAGCTATAAATATTGTAAATACATCCCTGGTTTCAGTCTGGTTTAATTAAAATAGATCTAATGCTGCCTCCTGTTGGTCACCTACAAACAGAAACACCTAAAACTACACTCCACATTACGAACTGCAGACAGCACATTCTGTAGCCTGTATGTTACCTACTACCTACTGCTAATCAGAGGAGGTATACAGCTTTCTTCATGGAGTAATACCAGAAACAAATATGACCCAACAAATCTACTCCATTTTGTGAATATAATGATTTTTTTTAACAGCAGTAAACTGACTTGCTACAAATGTATTTAGAATATAGAAAATAAATTCATTAGTACATAAATAATAATCATCATGTCTGTGCAAACATAATCAATATAAACACCTGAATAATTGATATTTATTATAATAACTAAACCATTACCAAAGTGCCATAATGTTTTTATAGCATTCTTTGAAAATCAAATTATCCATTATAATCATTACTGGATATTAAAATCCCACATACAATATATATTATCTTCATGTATATTATACTGGTCATGCTTATAATGTGTTCTGTGACATAGAATACTATTAGAAATGTTTTGGTTACATCATTTAAGTGCAAATAGTAGATTATAACTTTACATGCAATTTGTTTTAAACATCTTACTGTATTTCAGTGAGAACACAGGTAATCATTAATCTAGTCATCGACTATTTTTAGCGGAAGGTACTTTTTCATAAAGTACTGTGAGCTCTGAAAAGTCAGAAAACATGTAGAAAAACTCGCTTTGCACTAATTTTGTGACTTTTTTTTAAATTGCGTAACAGCTGCGTAAAGTAGACTGAAAAATCTATTTGATCCAGACCTAGAGCAGTTACTCATGCAAGTAATCCATATCTTCTGAGTAGTGTACTTGACTTCACTGAGACTTCTTACATCATTAGTGATTAATTACAGGATTTGGAACATAGGCCCTTAATTCTATCATAAAGCCTTGTTTTTAGCCATGACTTTCTAACACAGCTGCTTCTGCACTCAATTTTGCTATCGGATTTAACTCTCTGTATGTGGAATTGTGGCAAATGACCTTTTTTTCTTCTGTGAGAGTTGCAATACAGGCTTACCTACATAACTGAGGAAAATTCATACTATTTCACAGTAACTTTTCTGTAAGTAATGGTATAAAGTAACTGACACTACTGCATTATTTCCTGATCAGTGAATAGGAGAGCTTAACGCCATTTGAAATTCATGAATGATTTGTCAAACTGGGAACTGACATTAGTTCCTGTGCAAATGTAGCATATAATATTAAAGAAGCATGTCTATTTTCCAAATAAAGCTTCAGTTTTCACTGTATATACTAATAATGAGTAATTTACCACATACGTCATTGCTCTATCTGATGTCATATGCCAGAGGCTTGTACATATAGCAAGTAGCTGGATGGAAGACTGCCAAAAAAAATTTGCTCTAAGGAAAAACTTAGAGGAAAGAGCATCACTGGATTGCTGACTCACTTGCTGTTTATGTGACCCAGCAATTTCATCATGACAGCGGCAATTAAAAAAAAAACTTCGCAGTTCTCTAGTCTCTTCCAATTTGCATAGCTATTTATACCCATGTACTATGGGAATAATATGTTACTTTTCTCATTGCATAAATTACATACTCTTACTCAGGTATAAAAACACCACAAAAACACAAGCAGAGGAGTCAGACTTTGCATTTCTGATGAAGTGACAAGTTGCAATAATTAATGATTAATGAAGTCTCTATGCTACCATGACTAGCCTTACTAACGCTAAAACTACTGTTCTTCTATATATCTATTTATTTTTCTCCTACTGTTTCAGTAAGTAGGAATAGTATTCTCCATCTCTCCTAAACTATTCATTTGCTTTGCACTAACAGAAAGTAGTTGTGTTCCAATATAAAAATGTTTGCATTTCAGTATGGTGATTGTAAAGGTTACATGGCTAAGTGTAGCTGGAATATGATTTGGATACTCACTATGAAAAAAGCAAAATAAATGCAGAACTTGCCTGAAATACTATAACAAGCTATTTACTTCTATAGAACTCACACGCATCTTAATACAAATAAATTACTGCATGGAAAGGTTCCACTCTATTAATATGTTCTCCAAATGTGCATCATTTTCATTTACATACTTATGAAAATACTTATGATGAATGTTATCTAAATTTATAAAGGTATCTGATAACAAATTACAGAGTCAATCACAGAATTGGAACTTTCCATTTCTTACTCTTGAAAACGGAAGTATGTTGCTAGGCAATATTAAGTTGTAAGCATTAATATTGAGCTTGAGTTTTGCAAAAAGTACATGGTGATATGATAATGAACTTACCGCAGCTGTCTCAAGCCGCATGAAAGATGTTTTAGACACCTCACTAAATTTTGTTCATTTTTAAACTGCCTGGAAAAGATGTGCGTAGATGTTTAGAACCATCCTGTCTGGCATAAGACAACCTTACTGCTTAAATGATACTTATATGGAACACAAGGGCTCCAAATATCTTATTCAAATAGCTGGTAAGAAAATTCTTGGACTGTAGAAGATTACAAATGAATTTATGAAACCTAGCTAATTTCAGCGTCCTTCTGTTAGACACAGGTCCCACTTTGTATGCATGAGATCAGATTTACTTCACAATGTATGCCTAGACTAATTTTAATACTAAAAGCCCATTACAATTTTAACATTATAATAGATGACTACTGGAAGTTTATCAAGCTATATATTGTGTAGTGTTTACTATGTAATATTTTAACACTTAAAATTACCATGAAGTACAAGATAAAGTGTTTTAATTCATTTAAACCACTACAGAAGTTTAAAAAATGAATTCTTTCACTCCAGAAAAACTATTTACTTTGACTTTAAATAAATAAGTATGGGGATTTATTTTTGTAACTTTGTATTTGATGTATGACAAGATACGAACTTTTCCCATAGTTAACCGAAGCAACAACTAAAATTTTACAGCTTGCTGCTGTAAACAACCTAGTGGCTGCTTAGTAGGTAGCACTGGAGACTTCAGAGATGGAAGACTTCTGTTAGAAAACATCCTGACATGTTTTTTCTTTAGTTAACAGCATGACTGAAGCAAAGATACCACATGAATCATCCATCCTGTAGAAATCATCCCCACTCTGCACTATGTTATCAAAGTTTATCTTGCCACAGTTAATGGGATGAAAACAAAGTACAGCTACCACTAAGGCACAAGGATGGAGAAAAATTGGTAAAACTGAAGAGCTGAAGTAAGATGATAGGAATTATCAGTCTCTTCAAGTTAGATACCTGGTTTTAATGCTGTGAAGGTCACTTTGGCTCTTGCCCTTGCTAAGGTCATTCTAATAAGATAAAGCTGACAATGAATTTCTCTTACAGGTTTATGAATATTAAAAAAACTAAATCAAACAACACTAATGTAGATTTCTTTTAAACTTCAGTTACATAGGGAAAACAGTATCACAGTCAGTTTTCTCACTCAGCCATTTGTCTACTGGGACAACTGTGAATATTACAGAAATAATGGCACATATTACACGATGAATTCCTCATGATTATGCTTTTTTGAAAAGTAGTATCATTTTGCAAATTATTCAGATAATTACAGAGAAGACTTGCATATAAAATTAAGTAATACTTTCTATATAATGACTAGTGTAAATGACAATTTAATGGACTCTTCCAAAAGCAGTTCTATAGCATACAATTTAAACTGAAGATTTAAACAAAACGGTACATCTTTTTTGCATGTGTAAATTAATACCTACAAATCTGTTCTAAAGCTTGTGCATTTAAATAGATTCTTTTGACTCAGGAGTTTCAAAATTCTCCAGAGCAAATTGTCAGTACAGATGACCAAGGGTCCCTATATTTATTAAACTGAATGACCTGACAGTAAAACTCGGTTAAGGCTCTTGGCATTGGTGAAACTTCTTCCCACTCAGACCTGCTGCTATGGTAGACTTGAACTTCATCCGTGATTTCTTCTGGAGCATAATCGCCACCTAATATATAAATTTTGTCTTCTGTCCCAACTGCTCCTGCATTAAAGCCAGCGCATTCAAAAGATCCTTCCCCTTTCCAAACACAGGTTTCTGGGCAAAAACTGTAGACCTTGTAGGTGGAGAGATCACATATGTACAATGTACAGTTCACTGGAACGGCTTTGATTAGAGTTGCATGGAAGAACTGCCCAAATTCTGCTACGAGCTCAGACCACTGATCAGTCATAGCATTATACTTAAAGAAACAGTCAAGAGATGGATTAAAGGCATCAGTAATCTCTACTTCTGAGCCAAGGACATAAATTATATTCTGACATGCGCTTGCTTCTGGATAGTAGATACCTCTTGGTAATTGGCTTACAGATTTCCAGTCTTTGGAAAGAGGATTGTAGGATTCTACATCCAAGAGACTTCGGGTTTCTTGAGCTCCTCTGGTCTTTCCACCTATTACAAACAGCTGATTTAAGGTTACAACAGATGTGTGCATTGTCCTTGGTTTTTTCATAGCTGACACTATGGAGAATTCATTGCTGACCGGACAGTAGCACCAGGTTTGGTCAGTGGCATCATGAAATGGTTCAGCAATATGAAGCCTGACTGTCCTGTAACAATTCCCTTTGCATCCTCCAGTTATAAATATTTTTTCTCCATAGCTAGATAAACTTGACCCTGGAAGATCAATCATGTGCGTATGTGGTAGTTCTTTCCATTTATCTGTTTTGATGTTGTAGCAGAATGTATGCCTGTTTTCCCCATCTTCATCAGTTTTATGAACAAATATGTATTTTTCTGTTGTTGAAGGACGTGCATCTGGAAACAGTCCACCAAAGTTTTGCACACTTTGAACTGCATCATTGATTATTACTAAGCAATTAGCACTCTTAAGTAAGTGTTCTTCAGAATGTAGAAAGTCCTGCAAAGTCTTTTCAGGTAACTGGTGTAGTCTCACATTTTTGATCAAATTAGGCAGATATTTCTGTCGTGTTTCTAAGTTGTGTTTGGTCCATTGAAGGACAGCTTTCAACACCGATTCTTCCTCAGGTACATTTAGTTCGTCAGCCTCAAGACATTTTTGTAATATCTCAAAATTCATCTCCAAAAAATCACTTGATCTGAGCAGCAAGGAAAAGTGGTGCTGTACAAAATCTAGCGCATGATCAAATAAGCGGACAGAACCATAACTTTCTGATAGAGAAAGCAACTGTAAGCAATTCACAAGATCAATACTTTTTATTAGAAAGTCACTGCAAGCTTTAGAAAGGAGTGAAACTTGAAGAAATGACGACAGTTGGAAGAGCATTTCCACGTTATCATTTGTTATCTCTGTTTTTCCTGTGTAAGCGTAATCAAGAAAAGCTTTCACTGCCTTGGGTGACAGATTACTAATAGTAACATTGCCATCATCTCGTTCTTTCATATTAACTTCAAACATGGCTCTGTGAATAAAATATAGAAGATATGCACACAAATTAAAGATCTAGCAAACAGCAGAGAACACTGATGTGAGAAGGAGGAGGCAATCGGGCGTATAATAACATGGGCACGCTGTATAGGTCTAAAATGTGGAGGTTCTTGTAAGTAAGAACAATGCATTTGCTTGATATGGTTGAAGAAAAAAGGAGTGGTGATAAGAACATATTCAAAGTGATGGCTCATAAAAATGATAGCAGCACCTGTGTTTTGTATGGATTTTCACACAGATCGATGAAGTCTACAGCTCTCATTGTGAGAGAAAATGTGAAATTGTTTGGGGCAGCATCAGTTTCAACAGCTTGAGAAAGAAAGGCTGATTTAAAAAGTATATAGTAAAAAAGCCCCATGATTTAGGTCATGCACTGTGGATGAATACAGAAAATTAAGCGAAAAAAGGCCTTCCAAATTGCAGGCTGAGCAAATGGCAGGATGGATGATGGGTGCATTCCTCAGTAATGTAGGCGAGGGTTGAAGGAGAAGAAAAAAACATAAGGAAACTTAATCTTGCTTTAGAATTGACAGATAGATGTATGGGTACAGGCAGATGTCAGTAAAAAAAAAATAAAGAGGTTTTGACATAGGATTGCATGACACAATGAAACTTGGGCAGAAAGTAGATTGTGACTGAATACAAGGACGATGGTTGAAATCGTGGAACAAACTATTGATCAGTAGATTTGTGCAAATTTTATTACAACTTTGACTACTTTATTACTCAATATGTAATAACATTTACCTATTTCACACAATCTAACATGGCAAGATAAAATAATTAAAGTCAAGCTGGTAAGTGCTGGCAACAGATAAGAGCTGCAACATCACTTGCCCTACCCTCTCAGAGCATAAGCATCAGGCTGTGATAGCAACGGCTTCTGAATTTGACAAAAGATGATAGCGGAGAAAGATTTAGATAAATCATCAAATACTAAGTATAGAATCTGGATTATTAATATATCATAGATAGTTTCTATTTTAAAAAAAGAGTATTATATATTTCAGTTATACAATTAGTATCTGTATAGTACGTGATTTTTAAAATCTCATACTTCTATGAAGCCAAAGAGAAAAAAATAAAAATAAAAAAAAATAAAATCACTATGTATAGCATACTCTTTGGGAAGTGAACATCAGGTAAAGCAGGAACTAGTCTGACCTCCTGAACAAGAACATAAAATTGCACTAAGACACTTATGCCCCAAAGACCTTTTTGCATACTAAATGCCAATTCTTAGAATCCTTTCCTCATTAACCCAAGAGGTATGATACAGATCTCTAAATTACAGAGTTAAATAGCAACTGAACAATATTAGTAGAAAGAGAGCAAAGGCTTTGATTCTGACAGCTAAGAAGTAGAGAGAAAAATGTTTCTGAATCTTGAGTTTACACAATGAAACCAAACCTAAGAGAAGTCCAAAAGCCAAGGAAGACAAAAGGTGTTTTCATTTTAAAATTTATCTAGTGGACCTAGGTACTTTTTATTCCCTGAAGGTAATAAATGGGCCTTGCATTCCAGGACAACTATGAATTTGATGGCTGCTGTTACCAACTGTTACACAGGTAGTGAAAAGGACACATGTGTTACCATGTGCTTAACTTCAGTTCTAAAAATTACCACTGGAAGCTATTTCATCCTAATATTCGTTCTACCAGAGCATCTCTGTGCTGTCAAGCAGTAAACACTTGAAATGCAAGTAGTTCTGTGTGTCAGATTAAAAAAATCAGATCTGGTGCTACAGTGAAGAAATAGCTTATTCCATCTGCACTTCTGCTTTTTTTCAGTAGTCCTAAGACCACGGCTAGCCTATATCCTCTCTCAGACATGGCAGACTCCCACAGACCATGGGATGCTCCAGGCCATTTGAAAATAACACTTGTCACCTATGTATGGTCAACTGAATCAAGCTTGTTAACTCATTTGTGGGAGCCCATTTTTTCATTGTTAGAGCATCTTAGCTTTGTGTTTAGTAATGAGTGTATTTGGAAACAGACTTTCAGCGTGGAATTGCAAGCTTGTGCCTTACTAATAAAAAGGTTAGCAAGGTTCTTCATAAATTAATATCCTGTATGAGAATGGCCTGTCTGTTCCTTAAGAATGTATAGCTTTAAGCACCAGAAGGAAGATCACAGATCCATTTCAGGATGAAATCTGTAGTTTAGAAAAAATATATATGTTTAAATACCTCTGAAGATAAACTCTACTATACTGACCACTCATCTTAGACAAACAAAATCCAGCTCCATTCCAAAACGATGTACAATTTATCCACAATTGCTCAATGCAAGATGTATTTGTAATCAACCTGCTATGTTTCACAATATAAATGTGTTAAAGTACATAGACTGTTGCATACAAAGTCAAACAATACCCTTGCAGACCTTGAAGTACAGATACAGGCAAGTCTTAAAGATACACAACTTGTGTCAATTCTACCCAACAGCAGAACCGTGCACTTATGGTTTGACAGTTGTATTTCAGAGTATAGACTGCTGTCTGAATCTCAAATTCATAGAGTCCTCATGTCACTTTGGAAATACAAACAGATGCATTTGGGGTATGATTAGGCATCTAGCACTATCGTTTTGTTTTGGTTTTTTTTTTTCCCTATCCTTAATATGATGTTTGAATGCTTTGCTCAAAACTCTGCAGACATGTAAGTTGTGACAATTTATTTTTTTAATTTTTGTAATTATATTCCCTCCCTCCCAGAGAACTTACAATCCATTTCCTGCAAAGTCATGCCAAAATTAGGTTTACCTGAAAAAATCACTGCACGCTGCCAGTACACAACGATGACAAGGAATTATTTCATCTTTCACAAGAATTTTAAAGTCAAAAAATATATTTTGTTCTCTGAACTTTTGTAGTACTTTTAGAATTTGTTGTCCATGACCTTCAGCCACTAAGGAATTGATTTTATTTTCAGGAACAGAAATTCCATTGCAAATAGGTCTGCTAATGTAATCCCGTTGATTGGCCATGGTTTCTTCAATTTATTCCTGAAACTGAAATGGAAAAATAAGTAATTGATTCTACAGTCTTGCTGTTTTAAAAAAATATTAGCATACCATAAAACAAACAAACAAAAATCCCAGCACTGAATTTGGTTTGTAAGTCCTATGCACAGTTATAAATTTGTGTTATAAGTGACTTTTACACTGAATTTAATTTGACAGTAATACTTACTTCTACTTTGCAAAATATATACATATAGTATACTTTGTAAAGTAAAATATCTGACATATATCAAAGAACAACTTTACAAATAGTACCCACCTGTAGGAATTTTTTCAATAAAGTCCACAGAAAGCACACCAAGGAGTGTGTTAAAAATTTTAATGGTCTTTTAAGAGAAAGACTAGATCTAGGCTTACCCTCAAAAACCCCCAAACTCTTACAATTTCATGTAAAATGAAGATGGAAAAGGATAACTTTGTTACATATTTTTAGATTCCAGAAGGCTCATCAGTATACTACAAACCCCCAAACTCAAAGCAGACCAATGGTCTTTCTACAGCTTACAGTGGAAGGGAAATACAGGCTACTAGACCACTTTCTAAGTGGATTCCCATTAGGCATTCTGGACTAAAATAACAAACACTGACAGCCTGGACTAATGACAGGATTGCTAGGGCTTACCAAATGGGGTCATTTAGAGGCAGTTTGGTGACAGTGCAACTTTGAGTGTTTGGTCAATTGATACTGATTTTAACTTGTACCTGCAGTCTTGCTATGAAGCTGTATATTTGCGTACAGCTTATGCTGCACTATGCTGCACACTATGAGCTTCGTTTACAATGGCGTAAATTCATTGGCTTCAGAACCGATTTAAATTTAAGACAGTGCAGTCTCCCTTTCAGCAGCCAAGTTCTTCTGGTGATAATCCCTATAGTGAAGTGTGTTGTTTCTATGGTAAGTTGGGCTTGACTATTTTTTACATTAAAAATATTTTACTCCAACAACATAAAGAAACTTCGAACTTGAGTGTATTTTCTTTATACCTATTTAAAGTGCTATTTATATTGCTACAGGTGCATAAACTGCCCTCATTGCAAATTTGAGTCAAACTTGCCTATTTTAAAGCTTAAGAAAACATTCCAAGTTTTTTTCTATTGCAGGATTCTGCTTCCACAATTCCAATTAAAATTAGCAAGAGATTATGTCCCACCTGAATTGACAAAGAGATAAAAAATTCCAAGCCAAACCCAGAAACCAGAAAAATACGGGTTTTGGTTTTTAATTTCATGAAAAGGCTTATCTGATAACATGATACATTCAGAGCAAACTAAGCCATCAGGCAGTCTTCTTCATGGGAGGTACTTTCATAGCAGACTGATCTATACTTTATCTAGTCAGGTAGCTCCAACCACAAATAGACCTCCATGTCTCCTGGAATAGAAGAGATCCATTGATCTTGCTGCCAGCACTTGGCACCCTTGGAGTAGGCATCTTCTCCTTCCCATGGCCAGACAATCTCACTTTTTTCCATTCTAAGCCTGAGGAACTAGGAAAATACAGAAGAACAAGACCACCATTTATTCTGATAATGTATGGCCTCATAAACCCCAACTTCCATAAATCATAAAGCTTTTTTGTATGTCAGAATTCTCTAGAATACCCTTTTCTTATGAACTTTAAAGCCTGTTCCTCAAAAGACTGGATCTTCAAAAGCAGAGTTGTTTCAGTAAATTAGTTTCCCACATTTGAATGAAACTTAAAAAAAAAGGGAATTTCACGATTTATTTGGCGTCACGAAAAGTAACACTTCTTCTGAAGGAAATGTAAACCTTTTCACTAAATTCTGGAATTGATAATAGATAACAGACATTTCAGAAAGTTGGGGTTTTTTACCACCACTATTTCCACAGAGAGACTGTCCCAAGACTGCGAACTTTCTTTTAATTACACAATCAATTTATTAATGCTTACATATTTGTTCTTCTGTCAAAATTGTCATTGACTTTATTTTCCTTTGTATATTTATTCACTCACAATTATCAAGAGCATTGATATCCTCTCTCAACTTTTATTAGAATGAATGGATAAACTTTCCAAGGTTCATTTATAAGACTGAATTTTTGTTTTCCTTATTATTTCTTGCAGTTTTCTCTTCATCCACTCCAGTTTGATCTCATAGTTCTTTCACGGATATCAAATTTGTTGTACAGCATTATGGTTAAGACTCATCAGTGTCTCAAAACTCCAATTTGCAGGTCATCCAGTGCATCCTAATCTGTAATAGCAGTGTCTCCTTATTTTTTATTAAAAGCAAATTTCAGCAGTGTACCTCTAACGTTTTTATCCATCATTAAGGAAGATACTAATGAATACTGTGCTATGGCTTAGCCTAATTCACCCCCCCCACTCCATTAAAAAAAATATATTAAAAATTAAATACTCATCTCCCTTGTAGCCAATTCCTGCTTTATTTGATAATTTTGGTACTAATTTACCACTTTACCGGATCTGCTAATGATTTTAGAGCCCTCCAAAATATCTTAACAATTCAGCTAAAACTTGGTAGGTTAAACAAGGCCAACTAGCATTTATAATTATTTCATGCATTCTTCTACAAAGCCATATAAATTAATAGTTATATTTATATAAATAATATATATCAAGTTACAAGGTGTGCAGACATACGTTGCGTAGATCTGGAGTTCAGGAAAGCTGGGCAATGAGCCTCCTTATATTTGCTCCATTTACTCCCACGGGATTCCTGTTACAAAGTCTGTCTTTATGCGGATTACCAAGAACCAAATGCCAGAAGATAGTTCATTAGAGTTGAGATCTCCTATTTCTTAACATACGGCTGTGTGCCATACAGCTTCTTATCATGGCAGGTAAAGGCCATAAACTGAAGTGCTTTTCCATCATCTGTCCCACTGGGCATTTGTCACACAACCAGCCTTCCAGCATCTCCTGTAATGTGATGCATCAGACTGAGAAGTGGCCTATGTGACTGGGAATTGCCTAGGGTGAGATCAAATGTGTTCTCCGATGCGACCGAATTCAAGCTACCCTACCACTTGACAAAACTTCTCTGCTCGCATACTGAACGTTTACATTTCTTATAGTGACAAATGCCTGGTTAGCTACTAGCGGTTTTCCGAAAAAACCCTCCAAAACCAAACCCCCTTAAAGTTAATAATATTTGACCTGTTTTTCTCCTTGAAAGTCACATGAAAGAAGTGGCCCATTGGCTATTACAGTGAAATTTGACACAGACTTCAAAGTTATTGATGTCAATCTCACATAATACATACTTGGGGAGGTATATGTACCTCTCAAAGCTATCTATACAGATCTCCAGTTGAGGGGCAAGGCATCTGCGCTCCTGATAGTTAAGTGGCAAGAAATGGTCAGCCTACGTATGGCCACAAAGCAGCCAGCAGCTGAACAAAAGGAAGTTGGGGATAGTAAGGTAATTTTGGTCATTATGGATGAACTAATGGACCACCTGGGAGCTCTGAGGGCAAGAGCATTCCTGTAGTCTGTCACAAAGTCCACTAATAAGGACCACACCTCATTAGTTCTGCTGTTCACAAGACTATTCTGTTTTGACACTGTCCTTTTCCCAAGACAAGAAGGGATGAAGCGGCCTAGAACATAATAAGCTCATTGACCCAGATGCCAGGTAACCACACTGGTAAGTGTGATAAGCCCATAGTCAAAATATGAGATATACGCACATTCCCATTAGTAGTATCTAATCTATTGGAACAAAGAGCTACAAGAAAATGTTTAAATGACCTTAACACTTGTATACCAAGCAAACAGCTGCCAAAAGCTCACTGAATTTCTAGCGGAATTCTTTTTCTTCACCAAAGCTAATATTCCCTTTCCAGAGATAGTTACAAGACATAAGATAACGATGAAGATTTTCTTTTAGTTGGCACCATCAACAATCCTTCTTAGATGTAGTTGTAATTCTGTATGTGGAAGAAGTTGAAATGTGTAATTTATTTGTTTATACTTATCCTTCAGAAAGCACAGCTGCCCTTTTAAGTATCAATTTCATAACCTGGATATTTGTTGAATCCTAGAAATTACATTAAGAGACTGTGAACACAGCATACTGTTAAATTTATATGAGTCCAAAACCATCCAGGACAAGCATTTTCAGAGTATCTCAACTGGCATACACTAAACTATAACTACTGCAATATGCCTCCTAGAAATGGTGTTCACATACCTGCCACCAGATGTGAAACAGTAAAGCAAAGAGAACTGCGGAGTTAACTTTCACCAGAGATGAACTTTTGTTTGTGCAGGGTCTACTGTGGTTCCTACCAGAGTAACAATCAGAACGTACTCATATAAAGTACATATATTCATAAACATTTTTGCAGAAAGTCAAAATAGCTTTAGATGCTGTGACTGACAGGTAATACGGTTACACAAATTTATATGTTACACAAGTTTAATGAAGTTAAGAATGGTGTAAGATGTGCAATTAATTCTAAATTACTTCTAAGTGAATAACACAGGAAAATTTATTAGGGCAAGGGCCTATGTAATAAGAATGGAGCATGAACACCCAGGTGAGGACACGGGATTCAGACTGACACTGGAGAAGACTTCCACCAAACCATTTTCCTTACTTTATAATAGTAAGATAAATATATATACACACAAATATATTTGACTTTGTAATAGCCTAGGGGATGTTGTTTTGTAAAAGTATTGAACATACATAAGTATCATGTAGGTAAGCTAGCACTTTGCAGAAAAAGCATGTTAGGGCCGTGCCTGCCTGACAAGAAACGTGACCAAACCTTTGTAATGAGACTGAGGCCCAAGACTGTTCCCAGCACAAGGGACACCAATCTGACATGAGGCATGTACGCATTCAGACAATACAAATAACATTTTGTGCGTAGATGTTCTCTCCTCTACCAACACAGCTGGCAAAACCTGTCTAAACTCAACCTTTATTTAGTACAAACAATTGTAAAATAATCTTATTTGCTTTATCTCAAAGCACAATATAGTTGTGCTACAGCACTTTCTGTACAGCACTCTTTCACCAATAAAAAAAAAGAATGTTAATTCTTAATAGTTCTTAGCAGATATCATATGAGAAATAATTGTTCTCCAAGAGAACATTACCTTTATCACTTAGCCTTCTCCTAACTTGGACGGTCTTATTAGATAGCAGAATTTTAAAAAAGAGAAATCTCAAATGCTGATATTTTACAGCATACCTTATGTACCAAGGAAAAAAGAATTAAGACCAACAAAGATGAAGAAATTGTATAAATTTCTCTAGAGAAGTTTTAGATTTTTTTTTTTTTCACACAAAGTTTAACTGTACAGTTAACTTAAGTTTTTAAAAGGTCAGGGTCAGCATTTTAAAATCTAATATTAAAAATAAATATTGTATTATTAAATCTTCTATATACCCATCAAGATGAATTGCTATTTTCACTCCTTGTCTATTCTAAGGGGCGGAAATTAATAATTTGTTAACAATTTTTAAAGACACCACTCCCCACTACACATCTAATTTAACAGCACCTAATTTAATATTCGACAAGATGAATATGAGTGGAACAGGGATCTAAAGGATTTGGTGACACTTCTAATTGCTGACTAAAAAAGACAAGAGTGGATTTAAATGTAATTGAATTATAAATGCTAAGTACAAAGTTCTGTACTTTTATACCGTATTATTGTTTTGACTGTCATTGACTGTCTAAGATTGAAAACAGACAGTAACATAATTCCAGGTTCCTGTCTGGAAATTTCAATGCAACTCAGTCTCACAGCTTTTTCATAAATAACTGAACTTCAAAGAAAATTAATATTCAGTCAACCATTTTTAGACAATCAAAAAAGATGCATGTGACATTCTGAGACATTTAATCCACAAAAGTGGCATTTATCAATAATACATGTTGAGACAGTATTCTAAGAAGGAAAGGTGACACCGAGACTTTACAGATTTGGGTTCCTTAGTAGTGATTGAAAAAAACCCAAAACAAACAGCATGAAAAAAAACCAACCCAGCATGGTACCAGTAGGAAGCAGTGAAATTGCACTGATTCCTGGATGCATTCCAGAAGTAGAAGATTCCCTCTCTGCAAGCAGTGATCTTTCATTGCATATCCTCTCACAAACATTTGAATCTATTAGGATAAAGAAAATAATCACTTAGAACTCAAACTGACTGGATTTTATCCTAAAACTAAATTTCTCAAATTCATCAAGTTCCTTTGAAATTGTTTTCCTAGCTAAAAAAGT